TCCTCCTCCTCCTCCTCCTCATCCTCCTCCTCGTCTTCGTCTTATTATTATTCGTCTTCGTAGTATCATTATTTTTATTCTTATTATTCTTCTTATTAGTAGTATTATTATTATTCGTCTTCTTCTTATTCGTCTTCTTATTATTATTCGTAGTAGTATTGTTCTTATTAGTCTTCTTATTAATATTCTTATTAGTATTCTTATTCTTCTTCTTAGTATTATGATTCTTCTTCTTATTAATATTATTATGCTTAATATTCTTATTATTATTAGTCTTATTATTCTTCTTTTTAGTATTAGTATTATTAATATTATTATCAGTATTATTATTCGTATTATTTGTATCATTCTTAGTATTCTTCTTATTATTATTATGATTATTCTTCTTATTAATACTATTATTCTTGTTCTTCTTATTATTATTATTATTATTATTATTCTTATTATTATTATTCCTCCTCCTCCTCCTCCTCCTCCTCCTCCTCCTCCTCCTCTATCAAGCTTCCTCATAAATCCGCCGACCCTGTCGGCGTGTGTGAGGGGCTTGTCCGTTCAAGTCGTCATCTCCGTCATTCGTTGGTCGTCGTCTCTGTCGTCCCCTTTCCCTGCCTCCCCCTTTCCCTGGGCTCGTCGAAGCTCCCCCCTTTTCCAGGGACCTCCTCAGCGCGCCAACCAAAGCGAAGTTAAGCCACGTCGTAATTGAGTCGAAGGGAGGCCCCTTCCCTTCGATCCCTCCCCCGCCCAGGGGGGGGGTCCCCGGGGGGGGTCCCGGGAGGGGGTCCCGGGGAGGGGGGGGGTTCTCAGGTACGACGCCCCCCCCGGGAATTCCCGGAGCTCAAAAAAGCCCCAAGGTGGGCCAAGAGTGCCCCACAAAGACAGTCCAAGAGAACGCCGAATCGCCGAACGATCTGTCCAAGACGCCTTCACGGCCTCCAGACGTCCCAAGAGGCCTGCAAAGCGCCCCAAGAGGCCTCCAGGAGCTTTCCCATGAGAGCCCCAAGAGGCAGCAAAATTCGTGAATTTCCCATTCGTTTTTGAAAGATTTTGGCGTTCTTGCCTCTTCCGCTCCCCGACGCGCCAAGATGGCCCAAGAAGCCCCCAAGATCGCCCCGAGACGGCCCAAGAGGCCCCCAAGAGGGTCCCCTAACGGCCGAAGAGGACCCCAAGACGGCCCAAGACGCCTCCAAGACGGCCCAAGAGGCCCCCAATATTGCCCCAAGACAGCCCAGGAGAGCCCTGAATTGCCCAGGAGGCCTCCAAGAGTGCCTCGAAACGGCGCAAGAGGAGCCCTGGACGGCCCAAGACGGTCTCAAGAGAGACCTAGGCTGTCCCAAGAAAGCCTCTGGCCTCCTCGTCCTCCTCCTCCTCCTCCTCCTCCTCCTCCTCCTCCTCCTCCTCCTCCTCCTCCTCCTCCTCCTGCTCCTGCTCCTCCTCCTTCTCCTCCTCCCCCCTCTGCTCCCCCTCCTCCGGCTCTCCTCTGCCTCCTTCTCTTCCTCTTGCTTCTCCTCCACATCCTTCTCCCCCCTCCTCCTCCCTCAGCCACCTCCTCCACCCGTCGTCCACCTCCCACTCATCCTCCTCCCCCCGCCCCCCCTTCGTTTTTATCTTCGTCGTTCTCAGGGTCGGCGGCACCGGCCGTAAGGCCTTCGCAATAATTCCCTACCCTCCCGCGTGTCAGGCAGTTCGCCTAAGACCTCCTTACCACTCATTATCCTGAGGCTTGGAGTTTGCAACGATTTCACGAAGTCGATTTCAAAATGTCGTTCTCGCATTAGCGCCGCTCGTCTTAAAAGTTGCAACAGCTTCAAGGATTGAAGGCGGATCCTTTTTAAAATGTGGCTCTCGCCCTAGCGCCGCGCACATTTGTCTTAAAGTTTGCAACAGCTTCAAGGATTGAGCGCGGCTCTATTTCGAAATGTGACTCTCGCCTCAGCGCCGCGCAAACTCGTCGTCAAAGTTCGCAACTTGTTCAAGGATTCGCATGGTTGATGTCACAGGAAGATGTTCTGGCACGATGTTCGATTGCCAGGACGCAACAATCACATTGATTCGCGGTATTGAAGTCACAAGAACTGTTTTCTGGCACGATGTATGGTTGTCAAGACACGGCAGGTTGATCCGCGGCGTTGAAGTCCCAGGATTGTCTGCTGGCACAACTGGGGATGCTCAGACGGTTCGCTTCTGACGGGCCACTTCCCTTTTTGACATGCATTCCTGCGGGGACCTCTTAAAATGGAACTTGGAAAGGCGGTTATTGCAACATCGGTGATGCGTCTTTTGAGTTTATGCTGGTCCACCTCGTCATCCTCGCTCCAACCCGCCTCGCTCCTTCCTCCTCGATCCCCTCCTCGTCCTCCTCCTGCTCCTCGGCACGCCCTTTTCTGTCGGCACCGCCGCTGGCACTATACTCGACCCCCAGTGGGCGCCACCATGCGGCTGCGACAGTGGAGCAGCTGAGATCACGGTACTTGCTGACGCACGAGACAAATAAATTATCGTTAACGCAAGCTCGCCGCGTCCATCCTGCCCCTCCCTCTCGAGTTCCGCGAGGTCGACGAGAACGCGGCGCTTCCTGTTGCCAGGTAAAGCCCCTCTCCCCTGTCCTCTCTCCTTCTCCCCGTCCCCCTCTTTCCATGTCCCCTATGAATAAATCCTCCCTGTCGCACCCCCAAGCGCGTCGGCAGGGCAGGCCGGACGATCCGTCTGAAACATCCTCACCATTCGTGACCCAGAAGCGTGAAATCTGCAACAGTTGCAACGATTGACAGTGGCACGTTTTCAAAATGTGGCCCTCGCTCTAGCGCCGCGCACACTCGTCTGAAAGTTTGCAGCAACGTCAATGATTCGCATGGTTAAAGTCCAAGGAACGGTCCTCTGGCACGGTTCAGGATTGTCAGGGCCCGACAGTCGCGTTGAATCGCAGTGCTAAAATCCTAGGACATCCTAGGAAAGGCGTCCAGTTCCAAGAGTGTCCTCAGACACCCCGAAGGTTACCTCCAGAATCCTCTGGATTTCATGAGGAACCTCCAGGGCTTCCTCAAGAATCGTGCGGAGCCCCCAGGATCCTAGAGGTATGCTCGGGAACCCCAAGGACGTTTTCGTGAATCCTGCGAAGCCCTTCGGTCGGACATGATTGGAGAGGACACGCGAAAGGACACGAGACCCTTCCGAGGGCCACGTTGCCATAAGAATGCAGAAGGCATGGGTCGCGAGACAGAGGACACAAGGATACCAATGGATCTGGCAGGGTCGACCTACTAATCAGGGCCGACGGTATGAGACTCCTATGGTTTCATGAGGGGCCCCTCTTCATGGGATTTCGTCGTGCGTTCGTCGCGGCGGGCTAACCCCTCCAATGCCTCGCCGCGACGGGGGACCCCCGCCGCCGCGACGCGGCTGCCCCGCTCGAGACTCCCGCCCGCGCGCGCGCGCGGGCGCCCCGTCGCACAGCGAAGCGCCACCCTGGCCCACGAGCACAGTCAACCCGTACACTAAGGATGCGCGGTAAGGATACAAGGGCCTTGGGCGCCCATGCCGAGGCCATTCGAGCGGGACTGGCCACCGAGAGTGGTTGAGGATGGGCCGAGGACGATCGAAGAGGCAAGGATGCAAGGGCACCCCTGGGATCCTCCGTACTGCCAGGGCTGACTGTAGGCCCACCAGTCGCTGAGCAAGACCCCCGCCGATGCGGCGCAACTACGTCAGCATCAGCATCATCACCATAATCACCGTCACCATCACCGTCACCATCACCACCACCATCAACATCACCATCGTCATCGCCGTCGCCGTCGACATCGTCGACATCGCCATCATCATCGCAACCATCACCACGACCACATTCACCACCGTCATTACCAACGACCAACTCATACATACGAATACCATCATCATTGATATCGTCATCGCCATCATCACCATCGGTAATTTGCCAACTCCAGTCGACGATTTGTGCCCAGCTGCCGCCGGACAGAGCCACACGAGATCGAGAAGAATTCCCGACAGGGATGCGCTGGACTGCCGGCATGAGGTTGCGAATGACCATCCCGCACGGAGAAGATCGACACCCCAGCGTTCGCAAGCGCGTAAGAGGTGAGCTGTGGCCGGCTGCGCTTCCTGCGGATGCGGTTTCTGGTGCGGCTGCGCTGCGGCTTTTGCTGCGGCGCTGCTGCTTCCGTTGCGGCGGCTTCCGCCCCCCGCTACTTTGGGGCCTTTGCGCCCTGCGGCTGCTGCTTCTGCGGCTGCGACCTGCGGCTGCTGCGGCTGCGGCGCTGCGGCTTCTGCTGCGGAGCTGCTGCTGTTGTTGCGGCGGCCTCCGCCCCCAGCCGCTTTCGGGCCATCGCAGGCTGCGGCTGCTGCTTCTGCGGCTGCGGCCTGCGTCTGTTGTGACGCTGCGGCTGTGCTGCAACGCCGGTCTCCTCAACCGTCCACGTCCACGCTGCTGAACGAGGCGATCCTCTGTTGAAAGCTCGTCGTACACACTTGACACGGCATCCATGGCCAAGTCGAGCTCAGGGTAAACTTCGGCTGATTGCCTGTAGCTTGCCAACACCAGGCGACGATGTGTGCCCAGCCGCCGCCGGACAGAGCCCACGCGAGATCGAGTGGGATGCCCGAATGGGACGCGCTAGGCTTAAGGGCTGCCGGCATGAGGCTGCGAATGACCATCCCGCACCATCATCATAATCATCATCATCATCATCAGCAGCAGCAGCACCACCACCACCA